TTCTTCTTCTTCTTCTTCTTCTTCTTCTTCTTCTTCTTCTTCTTCTTCTTCTTCCTCTTCCAATAATATACATATACATATATATGTATAAATACCAAGAAAACAAAAAAAAAGAAAAAACTCACCACCCCAAACAAATCTCAAATCCCCCTCCCAACGCCCATCCATTCACAGCAGCAATCACCGGTTTCTTCCCCACCCGTCGACTCACACCCATAAACCCCGAAGGAGGATGCATCAACAACATTCTCCCCTCCCCATTCCCATTCCCCTCATTCTCCCCCTTCGTCTCCCTCCTCCTCCTAATTTCCTCCTGCTCAATCAAATCCTGCCCAGCACAAAACGCCTTCTCTCCCGCTCCCGTAATCACTGCCACGCGCAAAATCGGAGAGTCGTCGAACCAGGTCAGAATTGCGTCGGCTTCCCAGTGTGCGGCCGAGGGAAGGCTGTTCATTTGTTGCGGGCGGTTGATGGTGATGAGGAGGATGCTGGGGGAGGGGTAGCTGAGGATGTAGGAGGGTGAGGAAGGTGGAGGTGGATGGGAGGAGGTGGAGGAGGACATTGCGGGCAGTGGTGGTGGTGGATTGCAAGGAGGAGGAGGAGGAGGATGGTGTGGTGTCGATACGGATGATGGAATGGAGGGAGCGGGGGAGTTTCGTGGGAGGTCGATTGGGCAAGGTGTGGTGATGGACCTCCTAGTATAATAGACAGGACCAGTAATGGCAGATATCAAGTACAATTACTCTTCAGTCTGGAGCGACGAGTGCCATGTGCGCCCGTGGGAGAAATCATCTCGTTGTGCCTAGGCATGATTGCATTGTCATGATGGTATAGCCGAAAAGCGGACCTCCGAGGTGTAACATTAACAGACAGGGTCTACGATGTGGAGATGGATGTCGAAGCTCATGGCCCGTGCGAGTCAGCGGCTGCGCTAGGAGGTAGTTCTACCAACACAAGAAGAGCGAGAGAGTGAATGAGACCACTACTAGTACATCTTTATACTCTGATGCAGCTATAAATGGGATCGGGCATCTCAGTCGATGGTGCCCGACAGTCTTGGTGTCCTCTATATCAACCTCGACCTGGCGCGAACCAGAGATCGTGTTGAAGCTTGATAGAACCTTGAATTGTGCCTTGAAACATGTGGCGGACTAGGTGCATAGGTATCTGGCTCAGCAGGAGTGCCTCCACTTCGCCGTAGGTATGCAATTTGCCCTCTTCACCATCAGACTCGCTGCAATCGGACTTAGTAGGTGCCTTGGTTCAGGCTACACGTCTTACGTATAATAGACCCTTCTATCAGAAGGACCACAATCTGAGTAGCTCGGCAGACTCGAGCATCCGATGGCAGGCTTCTGTGAGCATTGGGATATCAGCTGAAGTCGTGATATTTTCGTCTACAAGGGATCAGTATGGTACGCCATAATGCCGAGATCAAGCACTCACGTTTGTCACGCCGCAAATGGTCGTCGTGTCCCGAGCGATGTTATGGAACCACGCTGCTAGTGGTAGGTAGGATCTTCGACGTCACAAGTTGGTGGTTACGAAAAGCTTAGTAAAGAGTACTGATCGAACAGTTGGAATAGTGCCTCGTCCACGAACGGCGGCAAATCCCACGAAATCATTCAACGTGAGGTGCTCGTGATCTCTTGGACGCTCAGACTGGGTTCACGCAGCAATTCTCACAGAAGCGCAAAAGCACGTCAACTCGATACTACCTCACACGGTCCATATCTTGAGACTACTGTCTTGCTTGAGATCGCTAAGACCTGAATCTTTGTCAAGTTCTGTCGACGTGGTATCGTCAAAGCGTCTGCCAGACGCAGTGGCAAGTATGGCTCCGGAGGGATGCCAGATTGCGCTCGAAACAGGAGACCCGTGCAACTTCAGTGTCGCAGAGGGCATCTGACCTCCATACTCGTCTCCAGGATTTGACCACATGCGCACCGTTCCATCTGTACTGCCGCCCCACACTTCGTAACCAGAGGCTGTAGGCACGACATCAATGTTCATGACCTGTGGCGTCGCAGCATACCGACCCGTCAAATCTCCCACTTTCTGTTGCGTATTCCGAATGTCGTACATCTGGATGACATTGCTCTGCCTCTCTGCAATGAGCAAGTGCTTACCACACGGACTCCATTTGAGATCTGAAATACCGGTACCAAGTCCTTCCTCAAGCTCGAAGGAAGATACCCAGGAGCCGAGCCCATCATTGTCGTACATGGCGATCTCGCGCTCATTAGTGCCGAGAGCGAGAAGACCATCATTGCTTATGCTGAGGGATGAAACAAGGCCTTTGCGTTGCAACATTTGCAGACCACTCGACGATTTTCGCCCTGCCTTCAATTTGTGAAAGATGGTCGGGCCTTGTCCAGCCTGCGAGCAATCAAAGCCAGCAAGCAAGTTGTCACTGCCAACCAGGAAGTGCAAGCCATCGCGCGTCCATGCCAGACTTCGTGGCGGCTGGTACTCTTCAGTGGTTCGGTGGATCAGGGGATAGCTTGCTTGCACCGAATTGTAGTCGAGAGCATTTCGCAGAGTTACTGGCACGGACGCACTGCCAGTGAGCACAAATGTCGTCGTTGGGTCCTGTAAATCAAAGCCTGGGTAGACGGCGTAGCTTTGAACATTGCTGCCACTCTGCCAAGTGGCGTAAGCATTCAGCGACAGTGGCTCATATCTCTCATCCAGCAGTTCCGGAGGCAGCACAAACGTCCGGAGACAATTGTCCTCCGTGTGCGTTACAATGGAAGTGCCGTCTGGAGTAAACAAAGCCTTTCGGAATATGTTGGATCTTCTTGCAACCAAGCTCTCATCCGACAAGTGAGATGAGTGCGATGTTCTGGTCCGGTGGTGGAATTCGTCGCCGGTCGTGGCAATGCATTTGGGATGCAGTGTGTCGGTGGGAGAAGACATGCTGGTCCAGGTTTACGATTTATTTGTTGCAGGTCTGCAGGTGCATGTGTCGTCCCACGACTTTATTGATCTCCAACGGTAGTTCTAGGGCATGGATGGTAGAACTGTGGATGGGCGTTCACAAAGTTCCATAGAATTCTAGACTACAACGGCCATCTGCTTCTTCTTCTTCACTTCATCATCTTCACCCACCACCCCTATCAGACACTCCCGAAACTACCCCCATCCGTCTCATCTGCTTCGGCGCCAATACATTATCGAAATGGTAAGCACGAATGGATGACAATGCACGCCGCAATGCTAACGCGATCTTCTCCCTCAGGCCACTCTCGTGAAGAACATCAAGGCTCTGACGCCCCTCCTCGACCGCGTCCTCGTGCAGCGCGTCAAGGCCGAGACGAAGACTGCTGGGGGCATCTTCCTCCCCGAAACAGCTGTGAAGGAGCTCAACGAGGCCAAGGTGTTGGCTGTAGGACCGGGTGCCTTCGACAAGGACGGCAAGAGGTTACCAATGGGCGTGAAGTCTGGGGACAGGGTGTTGATTCCACAGGTGAGAAGAGCAATTACACACGGCGATAGTGATATGGGCAATCCGCTGATGATGGACACAGTTCGGTGGCAGCCCCATCAAGGTTGGAGAGGATGAGTACTCAATCTTCCGAGACCACGAGTAAGTCAGACGATACCAAGAATGAGCCAGAACACTCACTGATAACACACACGCAGCATTCTTGCCAAGATCAACGAATAGACGGCCTTCGATACCCCCCAAAATAAATTTGTACAAATAGCATTCTCGGCGCATGTTGTACAACGTGCTGCAGCGATGGCCATCTGCTGCTGTATTCGAGGCGCTTCGCCACTGTATCATCATTTGTGTAGTTGAAATATGTGTGAATACATCTCTACTCTTCACCCTAAGCTGCTGACTTTCTCAGACTTGCTGGCATCCCGACGACTGCGATGTGTGTATTATCACATGATATGTTTGAGCTCCGGGCGATGTTTGGTCATGAGTTCTATACCTCCCGTCTTTATGCGTCTTCGACGACGAAGATATATCTTGGTGGTCTGGTTGAAGAATGCTACATGAACTCGGTACTGTCAGTGTTCATGTTGCTAGACTTTTAGATTTCTGCTTACTAAGACACGCGCCTTCCACGTTACCCGAGAACCACCGTTTGACATAGACTCTTCACTTTACGACAATCCACCCTCGAACATCATCGCTGGCACTTGTCTAAGACTGCCTCGCCCCCCATGGCCATTACACTAGAATCTCTGCCGACTGAATTACTCGACAATATCATCGGGTTCGCTGGCCCGCCTGCTTCAGCTTCGCCCGGTGAAGCATACCATCGAAGAATCTGCACCTACACGTCCGTATGTCGGACCTCTCGCGCGCTACGGGCAGTTGGCCAATCACACTTGTATGCTTTCATCAGCACGTCAGATCTTGGCGCGAACATCCAGCCACTCCTTCAGACACTGCGCAAAAGGCCTGCCCTGGCAGCTCTGGTGAAGGAGATTTACATCGAGCCAGACTGCGATGCTCCCAATCCGATGGCCCGAGACGAGCTGGATCTATGCTGGAAGGCTATTGATGAGGCTCTTGGGACGAACCAACTATCGCACGAGGCAAGAAAAGCGTTCAATCGGCGCAAAGGCTGTAGAGCCTGGGAGGCTGTCATGCTCTTGGCCCTGTCGACCAAAATCCGAAAACTTTCCATATGTGAACTTGATCCGGGCTTGACCCCATGTGTTCACTGTCCAATGCTTGGCAAAATTTCTCGTATGCTCTTCCAGCTTCGAAGCCCTCGAGATTGCTCCGAGTTTCTATACAGTACACTAGCCGATGCTCGTATGGGCTGCATTACACATACTAGCTTCTCGGCGCTGATGCAGCTTCCGACTCTACAGAAATTGACTAGCGAGATGTCCTTGCAAAGCCATGTCAGTGGGGATGAGGGCTGGCTGTGCACACGAGGGAAATCCAATGTCTCGGACCTGGATATGCAAATGGTCCACTTGGATGCTAATGCTCTTTCACGGGTAATCGCGTCATGCAAGAGCCTTGACCGGCTACGTGTTGAGTTTGCTGGAGTTGAAACAGGCGGACCCATTGACGTCTCTACTCTCCATGCTACCCTCCGACTACATGAATCGAGCTTGACCAAATTAGTCCTCGAATCGAAGACTCAAGAGTATCTCGTTTCCCGAAAAGATCGGTCATGTGCCCTGGACCTGGGAACATTCAGCCGTCTGGAAACTTTGCATATCGACGAAGAGTTGTTGCTTGGAAAATATTACTGGCTGAGTGACGAGCTCGATGCGAAGATCACGCTTCCTGCTTCACTGGTAGACCTCAGCATCTTCAACCACCGAGATATGATTTCACTGCCAATCGTCATTGAGGCAGTGCAGGCGAGCTTGCCAGATAATCTCCAGCACCTGCGGATTCTCTTTGAACCAGATACCAATGGTTCACTCAGCTGCAGAAAGCAAATTTCACGCAAGTCGAGACATCGACGCACGCCGGCGGCTTTGCAGTGGTGGTCCTTTAGTTCCGGAAGACCGGGCGAGCATTTGTTTTCTGGGTTTACGTTCCATTGCTGGAAGAAGCATCAGCCACTGAAGACGACCATGTCGGACCTTCCGAGGCTGGCAGACAATGGGAATAACACGTATGCGGTGCTTGATTATCTCTATCCTGGGAGTCTTTACAGCCAATGCATCTGCAAACGCTGTATTCCTTGGAGCATTTCCCATACTCATGCCTATCGAGCCACCGCGCCGAACCATCCATGAAGAGAATAGCTCCATTTGGTCAATTTTCCGCAAAATCGAGGATCTGAGAAGAGTATTCACGCGTCAAGAAGCAGCAACAATGCGGTTCCAGATCGTCATTCGTTGTGCCACTTGACTACGATCACATTTCTATCCTATTAGCAAGTCCTCGAGCCGACTGTCCTGCCCTCGATGCTGTGAGGGCTTCGGCGGCTGCAAAACCAGGCACTGTTTCAGTGAGAAGTGTTCTCTTTATCCCATCTATTACTATGATGGTATTTCCTCGTGGAAACGGGAGGCCACTTTTTGCATTGATTGGCCACAATGAGAATAAATCCAGAAATCAGATCTATACGAGAGTTTGACCACCAAGAATTGAGGCTGGGAAGCTGGGTGAGCTCTGCGGCTTGGAGGAAGCGAGGCTAGAGTAGAACTACTGTAGTGTAGGACCAAGATACTGCTAATGCATGCAAAAATCAACACCCCGCTGACGTAGATATGGATGCAAGCCACATTCAAGTAATATACCTTATACATATATCGCGTTGCACGCCACTGACCATACAATAGCATTGCACATTGACGATCAATATCATATATCGACCTCGTGTCTTCCACTACGGCCTTGAGATATACCGTCACTTGGAAATCGATTGTTGTCAGCTGCTCGTGTCTCACAATGGACAAGTGGAAGCAGAAGCTTGCGGGCGCCATCGACCAAGGTCGCGCAGGTATGCCGATGTTCACTCACCATCATCATTTCACGTGTGGCAGCTCTGACTAGTCCATCTAGCAATTCACCACGCCGGTCCTCACAATGTTGCAGAGGCGCAGAACAAGCCGGTCGATCAGCAGCCATACAGGACTAACCCTTCCAACGAGCCTGCACAAGATCCACCACCAGCTCAGGGCTCAGATCAGCCAATGCGTGCGAGTCCCGGGTCAGGACCCATCATCCCGAAAGTGAAGCGTGAGCCTGAGATCCTCGGGCTGGTCGGCGACCCCAGCTTGAATCGCGACAGTGGAGGGTCTGTCCGTTTCGGTGATCGTGTACTATGGACGTACCGTGACACACAACTCTGCAACCACAACGGGAGTGTCAACATGCTTCCCATCATCACCAGTACCGCTTCTTGGTCGGACTACGACGTCAATGGGGGGCCCAAACTCGAGCCTGTGGCACAGTCCAACCGCATGAAGTCGGTGGTCCTCAGACAGTATGGCAAAAACAGCCACAGCGAGAGCTTCTTCCCATCTCCCGGTCGCCATCTCTGTGCATCCCCAGCCGGAAACCGTGACGATGGCACCAGAATCGCTCTCTGGCCAAACCAACCTCCTCTCGTCACCTCCGAGACCAGCGACGGCAACATCACCGCATACACATGGGTCCCACAATGCCACATCAACAGCAACTTGGGCGTCGAAACAGAAAACCCCGCCACCATCCTCTACAAAACCGAACATCGCCCTTCCCGTCTCCACAGCCGCGACTCCCTCCCCAAAACCACCGTCGTGCACGAACACTTTTGGAAACAAGGCGAAATCGCCTACGGCGCCTACGGCACTCTCCTGCACAACAACTACATCTATCTCTGGGGCCAATGGGACCACAAAACCTCTCTCGCCCGCGTCCCTCCCAGCCACGTCGAGAACCGCGACGCCTACGAGTATTGGGTACATGGACAATGGACGAGATCAATGCCTCGTCTGGGCTCCTCGGAGGGAATCGAAATCCCTCACGCGAATGCTGGTGGTCAAGGCACGTATTATTTCAGTCACCATTGGAATTCGTTTGTCTGGATTGGAGGGGATATTTTCCCGGGCGCTGAAACTTATATTTGTACGGCGCCCGAACCTCAGGGTCCTTGGACGCAGGCTGTGCAGTTTTATAAAGGTGAGAATATATCCTTCTCCCCTTTTTTCCCAACAGACGGAGTCGAGATGAAGAGAGAGAGTGATTGCTGACTTTTGATGGATGTTCTTTTTTTTTCAAATTTAGGTCCGATTGGAAATCATGCTTTGGGTGCATATTCCATCCAAGCTCATCCTGCTCTCGTGTCTCCGAATTCGACCAAGAATGAAATGTACATCACGTATACGAAGAATGATGAGGCTGAACATGGTGATATTGCGGGATATACGACTCCGTTGGTGTATGTTGAGTTTGAGTAATTTTTCTTTTCTTTTCTTTTTGGGGTTGGGGGAGAGGTTCGGAGATGTGTTTCCCCTCCTGGCTCGTTGCTGGCTATCTATTTGTCTGTTATAGTGTCAATAACCATCCATAATCATCATTCATTCATTCATTCACCCCCCATACTGGAGATTCGAGAAAGAAAAGAAAGACACAAACGAAACAGCAAAAAAAGAAAGAATCACAGATAATAGAACTTTCATTCATACCCTCCTTCACATCCCCCCCCCTCTTCCACTCCTCAATCAAACCACCCCCCCAATCCCCGCCGCAGCATTCTTCCTCCTCCTCCTCTCCTCAACCCCCATGACAGCCGCCAGCGCCATCAACTCCAGTCCCTGCTCCAATTTGACATAAAATTCCATCTTGGCAATCGGCTTAAAAGCAAACCAATCCCGATCTTTGAGATATGCTGCTAATAAATGTCCGGGGTTGTCGACGTCGAGGAGGTGGTAGTCGCCTGTGTCTTTGAGGTAGCTGAGGAGGGATGTTACGGGGCTGGGAGAAGAGAGGGGGTTAGTGGGGGGTTGGTTTGATGGGGGGGAGGGGATGGATGGGGGAGGGAATGGATGGGTGGACTGTACCTCCTCCAGACGAATTTTCGACCTTGAAATTCGAAACAATACTCTTTTTCGTTCCAGCTGCTGTACGTGACTTGCGGCCAGCGTTCGGCGGGGATGTTGTGTTCGGAGGGGTCGCCGAGGTGGATGTAGAAACCTGAACGGACGGATTTGAATCTTGTGGCCTGTTTTTGTGGGGGGAAGTGGAAGAGAGAAAATGTTAGTGATCGGTGGGTAAAGTGGTGAGAGAGAGTATAGTTTTGTTTTTTTTTTCTTTGGAATGAGATGATGAAGCCAAGAAAACAAAAGAAATAGGATGGAGTAGAGAAGAAGAAGAAGGAGAACAGTGACAAGAAAAGAAAAGAAAAAAAAGAGAAATCAAAACTCACAGCCAAAACCCTCCTCTTCCCCCCCTCTTCTCCCATCGCCCCCAATTTCCCCTTCCCTCCACCACCACCCTTCCCACCACCCATCCCCATCCTCGGCGAAACAACCGGCAACCCCTCAATAAAAATCCCCGGAGCGCCCCAAAACGACGTTTGAAATCTCACCCACCAAATCGCCCTTCCATTCTGATGAATTTCCAATCCTGCCCCTCCAGCAGGTCCAGGCGTAAACGTCCCTGGGGGATTTTGTTGTTGTTGATGTGAATTCTGTTTGGAGGTGGCAGAGAGATTTTTTTCTCCAGCGCGGATTTCGTAGGTTTTTTTGTAATTATACGGGGTGGCTGTGATGTCGTAGGGGGTGTTGTTGTTCTGCTCTGAGAGGGTTTTTTGATGATGATGATGATGATGAGGAGGACTTTTGGTCGTGGAGGTGGATTTGGTGGATGTGGAGGTTCTTGTTGTTCCGGAGGAAGTTAGAAGGAAGGAAGAGGTGGAAGAGGTAGAAGTTGAGGAATTTACGCCGCTGACGACGACTTCCTTTTCGCTTGAGTGTTCGATGGGTTGAGGGTGGCGAGAGGGGGGAGAAGAAGAAGAGGAGTAAGAAGAGGAATAGGAAGGGGGGAGAGGAGGGAGGGATTTCTGTTGTTGTTGTTGTTGTTGTTGTTGTTGTCCACGCTGTTGTTGTTGCTGTATCGGAAACCCAGATCCAGAACCCGAATTCGAAGAAGAAGCCGAAGTCGAATAATTCGAAGAAGCAGCAGAAGTCGAAAGCACAGCAGCTCCATCCGAAGGAGTCACCAGATCCCTATAATGAGTATTATAATCATCATAAGAATTACTACACCAACCCCTCAAATCCATACTATCTCTTCGATATCTCGGATGAGGAGAATACGAATTGAGAAAAGGCACCACTGCTTTCTTTTCCTTTTCCTTTTCTTTTTCTCTTTCAATCCCCTTCTCCTTCTTCTTCAGCTTCTCACTCTTCTGCTGCTGCTGCTGCTGCCTTTCCTGTCGTTTTTGGCCTTGGACGTGTTGACGAGTCGTCGAAGACGCAGAAGAAGGAGAAATAGAAGAAGAAGCAAAAGAAGACGAAATCATCGTCAACCCCAATTTCTTCCTCTGAGAACCTATAAAAGAGGCTATAATCGGAGGAATTGGAATCGCAATGGGAGTGGTGGTAGAAGTCAATGCAGTAGGAGTTCGTCGACCACTAGTACTATTACTTCCACTACCAGGCGGCAAAGGGTCTGTCGTGTTGTATGCGGCCAAAGAGGACGTCGAGTTGGACAAGTAGGAAGAGTAAGGGTAGGCGTAAAAAGATGTGCGGTTGTGGTGAATGTTGCTGTTGTCGGAAGAGGTGGAGAGACGAGGACGGATGGATCTGTTCTCGGTGTGATGGGGAGAATTGTTGTCGTGCCACCAGGTTTGATGTGTTGCTGTTGTGGTGGATGATGGAGGAGAAAGTCTGGAGGTGGATGAGGTGGCCGATGATGGATAGCGGCCGAGAATTTGATTGCATTTCTCCGAAGACATTGTGTAGGATGTTGTCTATTTGTCGTTGTTGTTGTTGTCGGTATAGTTACTGCTGTCCTTGTCTCTCCCTGAGATGCTTATTGTCCCGTAGTCAATTCCCTTGTCCCCTGGCTCGTTCTGTCCTGTCCTGTCCTGTCCTGTCGAGATGACTATGCGCTTCCTGATCGTCGCCGCCGTTGTCTTGGATGCGCCCTTGAACAGACTCGTGGATTGATGGTGTTCGAGTTCGACGGTATGATGAATCTGGGGATTTCGTGAAATGCCGCGTCGTCGTCGTCTCCGGTATATCTATCCTTGTCTGGTCTTCTTCGGTGATTTGGCGACGACCGTCTCGCTAGACTAAGCCAGAAAGGCGCTGGGTAAGTAGAACCGTACTTAGTGTACTAGGCCCTTCTGCTTCGCAACAAGGAAGAGGAATACGGCACTCCTTCACACACATCTCTACTTCCATTTCGCCCAGAAAATGAGATTACGCGAAAAAAAAGAGTGTCCAGACTGTGCACGTGGAATAAATGAAGCATCACAAGAACCAAGAAATCCCCCTTGGAAACACCGCCTCTTTTTCTTTTCTTCTTCGCCACCACATTCTCGGCATCTTGGAAGGGATTTCCTTGCGCCATCTTCCCCAAACAACTCCTCGTGTCATTGCCGGAGGCTCCTCCGTTAGTCAGTTTCTGCCCACCATCATCCAACTCCAAGTATTATATTACTACTATATCTACCTATCCCCACCCATCATTGTTCCTGTTCAATCTTTCTACCACAGCAGCGGTTACAGCGCCGGAGGGTTTTCCTGGTGAGGACTGTGCTCGAACAGCATACCCCATGTCAACATCATCGAGACCATAGTAGTAGAGTAGTAATACAAGTCCTTCTTCATCTTCATCTTCTTCGTCGGTGTCGTGGTCTCTGTCATAGTCACCATCATCCTCGCTCTTCACACTACACACACATCGGTAATTTCGCAGTCACTCACATCCTCGAGCCACTCATGCAGTGTGACATGCACTGGGGTTTCGGCAAAAGCTTGTCTAGTTTCTAGAAAAACATGTGATTCGTGTGATGTGCTTGGGTAATAGTCGGCACAAAGTTCGTCAAAGACTAGATGTACTGTAGAGAACCAGGGGTGGACCATGGGGGCAAAATTGCAATTTGGCGCACTGCCCACTGCGCCACTGTGAGACATGACTTGCCGCAGAAGCCTATCTATCTCTCTCTCTCTCTGCACAAGCCAAGTCATCAGTAGTAGTAAGTCGTACCTACAGTAGTATTAGCAAGATAGAAGAAGTAAGTGACATGCCCCACACACTATCTAGATGAAAGTCGTCAACGTCTCTACGAGAATTCGATTTGATGGTGGTTTCATTGCCATTCGTACAACAGCATACATCTTCACTACACCGCTCGTGTCCGCTGTTGGGATGGCGCTGGTATGCTTCGCGCACGTCTTCGTAGCAAGCAAGCAGGCAGGCAGGGTGAGAGTCCAGATGATCGGCAACTCATCATCTGCAGCCAGCCACATGTACAAACACTGGTGGCGACACTGGCCGTCGTTTCTTGGTGGTGTCCCTCGTCGCAGCCGTCAATCATACACCTGCCATTCCACCACGCCTCCCATCTGCCATTTTACCATGCGATTCCGCCTCATCCATCAACCATGCTTACCTCGAGCATGGCACTCTCAGTACTGTCGAGAGAGCGAAGCAGATGATGAACGAACGAACCGGGGGAGCGGGCCTGAGCACTTCAGACTCGCTGCGAAATCGCCCATGTGTTCCTGCAGGATAACCTCCCAAAAACGCCCCGGAAAAAAACTTCCAAGTCTCCCGCGAGCACCAGCCTAGTTTCTTTTCCGCCACGCAAATCATCGCAAAGTGGTATCGTATCAATCAGTGCAAAGGCATGTCATGCCTCCGCACGCCAAAAACTCCTGCCCTGGTAGTAAAGTGGGCGCACTCAATCGAGCAGAATAGCGCCGTCTTCATCGTCCACCACGTATACCTCACCATCGTTGGGCCGAGCTTTCGCCTTCTTGTTGGCTGCGTCTACATCATCCTCAGCTTCACGCTTCCGCTTGCCGTTCGAAAGCTCCGCGCCCTTGACCGAGGCTCCCGGCGTCGCGTCGGCGCTGGGATCCGGCATGATTGGCTTCGCCGGCTTCAAAGGAAGCGCTAGACTGCTAGGCGATAGACGAATATCTTCCTCGCCTTCGAGCGTACTCGACTTCCTGATGCTCAGTATCAAGTCCACTTTAGCATCATCAGCCTCATCCTGTACTGTCAGGAAGCTGATGCTCTCGCCGTCAATTCCAAATTCCGTCAGTGCCTTTTCCAGGTTCTCCTCCAGATCCGGATCGTAGATGAGTTGCTGGTTGAACACCATCGACATGTCATCGTAGCCCAGACTCCTCTTCAGCAAATCAACAAGTGTCTGCATTGTGGGACTACTGCCTTCCTTGATGGAAATTTTAGCATAGACGGGCGAGCACACGGGGCAGTCGTTGCGCGGGGCACGCAGGCTCTCCGTCGTGATCATACGATCTGTGCTCTTTGACGTCAGGAAGATCATCTTGCTTCCTCCCAACAGAGGTGCCGCGTGACGACCATTCAACTTCGCAGGCGTAGCCGTGGTAGTAGTAGTAGCCGTAGTAGCCTGAGGATGAGGAGGATTGGGAGGGGGATGCTGCGAGGGCATCTGGCTTCGCAACACTTTGAAGGCTTCCAGCAGACATAGCGATGCTGTCAGCGCGTTGGATGTGGCTATTGCAGGAATTATGTTGCCTGCCATCTGTTTAATGTCCCACTCGCTGTTGGATGGAATGCTGAAGATGTGCGATCTGAGATTGGCAGCTGCTGCGACAAAGTCCAGCGTGTCCTTGTCGTCCTTGTCGAACTCAATGCCACTCTCGCCGGCCGCAATGCGGTTGCTGAGCTGCCGAATGCTATAGCAGAAGACTTTCAGATTGTCCAACAAAGACCACACCTTTTGATCTTGAGCTGCAAGCTCCGCACCGTGCTTCTCGGGGTCTTTGTCGATGCAGACACCCTCAAACCGCAACGGTGTGGGCGGTGTCCGACTCTGCCACATTTCGCTCATCGATCGCAGGCGGTCTATGTCCGCGCCGTAGACTTTGTTGAACACCTCTTTCGCAAAGTCCTCCTTGCCCATAAGGCCTCTAATCTTCTTCAGCGCCTCTGCCTCCTCTTTGAGCTTCGCAACCTCTTCAGCGTTGTCCTCGCCCGTGACTGCCACGTCCGAAGACTCCTCCTCGCTCGTGCCAAACAACTCCGGCAGCAAGTACGACTTGGCCCAGACTATGCAATGTATCGGCTGTGAAGGCGTCGATCGAATGGTGCAGATGGGAAACGACTTTTGCACGGGCTTCTCGTTGCAGTCGTAGCACTCGGTGACGCCCTTTTTGATCGCTTGGACCTGGCCATTGAAGCCCGTCGTGCCGCTCTCGATGAGTGGCACATTTGCAGCCAGACACATGCGGTTTACATGCCGTCGAGCAGCCAGGTTATCGAGCGCATTGAAGACGAGGTCAAACCCCTCGAAGAATTCCACATGGTACTGGCTGTCGAAGATGGAGGCATGATGCGCGTCAATGTTGATGTGCGGGTTGAAGGCGCTGGCCGTCTCCTTCGCGACGAGGGCCTTGGGCTTCTTGATGTGGTTTTTTCGAAAGAGGAACTGGCGATTGAGATTGCTCAGGTCGATGGTGTCCAGATCGATGACTACAATCTCGGCCCTTTTGCCCGAGGAAGCTTCCGGCTGCTGCTGTTGTTGCGGATGCTGATGTTCCTGCCGCTGCGGTTCTTGCTGTTGCTCTTGCGTGGTTTGCGCAGCATCCTGCTTCTGATGGAGCGAGAGGTTCTGCACCTGTGGCACCGTCGAGGCACTGCCAGCACTGCCAAAGCCACAGCAGACCAAGTTCTTCAAAACCTCACAGCCAATGCCACCGGCGCCCACCAGCAGCACGCGACTCTCTTTGACCTTGCGCGTGAGTGGCGCGCCTAGCGATTGCGCAATGCCGCCATCTCGCATCGTGGCGAGGAACGTGTGCGACTGCGATCGCGTTTCGAATATAGGGGTGGTGTGTGTGTCGCGTCGTTGCGAAAGAGAAGGTGGGTGTTTTGAGTTGCTCGCCGAAGTGAGATTGACGTAGAGCTAAACGGCCTCGTGAAGAACGGCAATCCCGGCTGAAGCGAGCGTGGTTTGACCTGGAGGACAAGTGAAAGGGAGAGGGAGAGGGAGAGGGACAGAGAGAGGGAGAGGAATCGTCGAGGAGCGGAGCGGAGTGTCGTCGATGAGGTGGAGCGAGGGGAGGAGCGGGACGGTGAGGTGCGTGGTGCGGGTGTTATTGCATGAGCAGTTTACATGCCCGAGTCAGGCAGTCAATCGTCGGTTGGTCCAATGACAATGATGATGTTCGCCATGGGTGTTAACTTCAAATGTCAAGGGAGATGCTGAGATTCGGATGTCGGGAGACGGGAGACGGGAGACGGGAGTCGGAAGTCGGAGTCTCGGAGTGTGGAGCCCTGCTGTCAGGCAACCACTCGCTTGCAGCCTGATGAGTCCCACGTCCAGGAGACATTTACCTCCTACTCCTTTCCTGCACTTCACTTCATCTCACTCTCGTCACGTGCCGCCACAATGAGCGACGATGAAGTCGATCTAGAACTGCTGAACCTCCTCCGCCAGAGATTGGGCATTTCCGCCCCTCAGGACGGAGTTCCACGCGATACGGGTGCGTACATCATCACGACATGTACCTTAGTACCTTATACCACCCGTGCAGGCAGAGTGCAAACGATATCCTCGTTCCACTAGCTGACATCCGATCATCTCCTCCCATCAGGCATCCTGAAAAATGCCGAATTCATCTACAGCAACGCTATCGACGTGCACGTTGATATGTACGGAACTAAAAGTGCTGCTATGCAAATCTACAAAGCCATGCAAGACCGAGCGTACTCCACCCAAACCTGGACAACACACGAACTGCATCCCAAGCCCAGTGAAGGATTCTCCGAACTAGACATGGTCAACTTCATCTTCGCCATGGATTTGCTGAACTTCTCGTGCGTGTGAACATGGAGATATTCCCATGACCAAAGAAGTTCCGGTCAAGGGTGCTGCTGCTGATTCTAGTAATACTCTGCAGTTTCTGGTCGGAGTTGTCACCCCAGGATCGATTTCAAGTGGAGTATCGAGGGCAGCGGTGGACGGGGTACAACAGTCTGGTGGCTTGCTTGAGAAGGGCATTGGACGAAGATATCCCTTTTACCACGCCGCGATTCTGGACTGCTCCCAGATGTACGGGGGATGTCTTTGCCCATGTTTTTCGAAGTGCGACGGCGGAGCCTATTCCGCTTCTCCAGGAACGAATCGACGTGTTGAGGGAGGCGAGCACAGTTCTGCGCGAGGTATGCGAACAGTCCCAGCCTGGTATCGATGAGTCTATTCTGACTTGGTAGAGCTTTGCGGATGAGGATGATGATGACGATGATGACGATGATGTTAACGGCGAAGACGACTTTCTCGAAGCAAGCAAGGATACAATCGTGGTGACGGGCAGCTCAGCGACTGCTGGTCCTGCTCCTCCTACCGAGTGTAGTGATCAAAGCCTCGACACTGATTTGGACAACCCACGGGATCCTAATGATGATCGGCGCGCAGAGCAAGATAGCTCGTTGAACCCGACAGTGAATGGCCACAGTGGAATGGAGCGCTCTTCTCACCCATCATCACAACCCACAGAGGCACCGGCCTTGAATAACCTTCCAGAGATCGACTCGGCCCCCCTTGGAGCGATAGATCACATGGACAATGACGCCCTGTCCACAGTGCTGGTTGATACCTCTACAAGCGCACCCCCCGTAACAGATGTATCGGTAGAGAACAAGGAAGCGGATGCCGTTAGTAGCGAGAGCTCTACACTTGCACTAAATCTGTCACCAGCCGATCTACGACCAGATCATGCAGTTCTTCATCTCATCCAAGAAGCGGATCAATCCGCTGGCAAGCTTGTCAACTTACTAGCAAAACACTTCAACTGTTTTCGCGACGAAACCAGATTCGACGGGCGCAAAGTGCGAATCCTCAAGCGCGCGCAGATCTTCGTCGCCGACTTATGGGCAGCGCTTAACGATACCGGACCAGGCCACTTTGAAGATATTGATCACTTGACCATGTTTGCAGGTATGCGGGCGCAATCTTACACGAGCACATTCATAGCGTAGTGATCTGATCATGCTGAACTGACTGGCGTTCAGATTACCGCGTACCGCAGTCACTGCATTCACTAGGAGTACTGACATTCAGTCCACCTCTCGACTATCATATCCGAGACCTGAAACGACTCGAACCAGGACATTCATGGGAGGTACAGTTGCGGTACGTCCACGTTCTTTTCCTCTCACTCACAAGCAGTTGGCGCGAAAGACAGCTTGCATCAGATCCTGACTCTTTTCTTGTTTGGAAACAGTGGCTGCAGCATCTGGGCCGTGGAACTCATCCGTCGCGAGATATTGCGAGCTCATCCAGACGCTACTACATCTATCAATGCTGTTCTGATTGATTTCTTTCTGTACGATCTCGCAAAGGAAAGAGAAGCGCAAGGTACGTCTGCCGTCTTCTCGTTCCACATCCTATACATATATATATCTCCCATCCAAGGCTTTGGAGTATAGTATATCTTGCACAGCTGAAGGAACTTCGGAATCTTCCGCATGATTTGCCTATTCTTTAGACGGGCCGTGAAAAGGCAATGGCTAAGTATCGAAACAGGGCAACCCGCGATTCCCCATCATCGAACGAGGAGCATATGGTACTAGCTCCCGAATACGATCGGGGCGTGTATGATGATCAAAAGCTTAGCGTAGATCGTGCAAGGGGACAGACTGCACGTCTACTATACTTGGAGCTACGACATCATCCGTCGGATTGAACGACACCAACCACACCCTCCTTTGCCTTCTCTAGGTCATCACTGAATACCAATGTCTAGTATACTGCACGGCAGCATTCTGCCCAGCCCGAATCAGGACTTCAACAACCATTTACAGGTGATGAGATCAGCATCCGTGTCCCTACGCACGCACGCACGCTTCTTCTCTCCCTTCTTCCCTTCATATCACCTCATCAGCTTGCCGAACGACATCTCTGAAGTTTCTCCCACTCCCACTCTCCCAATCCTTTCATTGAACGCCTTACTCCTTTCTGCTTTGGAATTGTCGCCAGTTGACACCCCTCACTCGTTTTGCACTCATCTGCACTCACGCTCTTTGATAGAGACTGAAGAACTCGCTCTGTCCACAACTTCAGCAGGAAGCAGCATCTTGCGAGACAATGTCAACTGGAAAGAAAGGTTTCCATCATTCCAGCCCTCTCTTCGCCGCATTGCCCAGTCGACGACAGATGCCAAGTCCACAGCGGTTTCGTGAAAAGAATAACGACTATCAGTATTCGAACGAGTCCTTACCAAAGAAAGTAAAAATGTTGAAAGATGATGTGCTTCTTTTCCGTTGCGGTCACCCCATTGCATGATAGAACGAGAACGAGATGTTCACCATGAGGATTGAGGAATCAGCGCCATTCTTTCTTTCGCTTATTAAGTATTCCTTCTTCTCACTCCCTCCGTCTGTCCTCTCCTCTCGTCTCTCCTTTCTCGCTCCAAAACCCCAAACCTTCATTCATGCTTCCAATGGAGACCATAATCGCCCTTCATCATAATCGCCCTTCATCATCATCACCCTTCATCATCATCACCCTTCATCATCATCACCCTTCATCACCCTCATTCCCCCTCATTACTAACCCAAAAATTCGTCGAAAAAGGAACCATCTACTCGATCTGGCGAGGGAGGACGACCGGTGCATTTCGCGAGTGCAGACTTCCATCATTAGGAGGGGTGTCTCCTGGACAAGAATGGTTTCCTCGCGCGACGACTTGCCCATCATCTGTCGTTCCTCCTCCGCCCCAACACTCGGAGAAATACTGACACTGGTTGCCTGATTCCGTCGTGCAGAGGTTCTGGAAATATGCTGCTGTGGCGTTGATATCTGGGAAATCTTTCTCAAAGCTGTAGCTGAAACACTACTCTCGTTGATTTCGGATTAGCGAGTTTTTCTTTTTTTTTACTCAAGTGGTTGCCCGGGGAGAGGGCGGATTTCTTCGGATGATGGGGAAGGGAAGAAAAAAGGAGGAGAAAAAAAAAGGAACGTACACCTCCTTGTAAATCCCCAGCAGCATTCTCGTACACAAAGTATTGGCTGTCAGGAACATGGGTACAGGCATCTTGTGTGAGAGTCTTGTCGCCCATATCATCGTCTTCAGAGCCATATTTGCACAGACAAAAGGGTTCGTCAAAAGGAGGAACGTCGTCGTCGGTAAGTTGTGGGGTTCGCGTGGATAGAAGAACTGGTTTTTCCTCATCACGTTTCTTCTTCTTCTTCTTTTCCTCCTCCTCCTCCTCCTCACTAGGCCCCTTCTGCTCTCCACAAGTGCCGTTAGGGTTCCCCTTTGCCATTACCTGTCCTTGTTCCACTGTTCCATCTCCACCCCAACATTCTGCCCAATACTGACACTGCTTCGATACCTCCCTGCACTTGGGGTCGAAATATTCCATACTTTCATTGATATTGAAGAAAAAATCGATGAAGTAGTAGCTGAAACACTGCAAAAATAAAAAGATCAGAGCATGCTTTTCATTTTCCCCAAGTCATTTCTTTGGGTTGGGGGGTTTTGGGAACATTCTTCTTACCCCGCCATGAAGAGGGTCTTTATCAGGACTGTCGTATATCTTAAATGTGCTATCGGGGACTTGCTTGCAGACTACCTGTGTAAGGGTCGTGTCGGTCGCAGCCGTGTCGACCGGACCGTCTTCGTCTCCGGATCTGCAAAGGCAGAAGGCTGGGGGATAAGGACGATCTCCTCCTGGGGTGTCTCTGGAGACGAGATCTGGGCTTCGCGAGGCGAGAGATCCAGCGAAGACCGACGGGGCGATTGCTAGAGCGATCCCCAGCTTCATGATTGCTGCTACCGTCGTGGTCGTGGACGTGGTTGTCGTCGTCGTTGTAGTTTGTTGTTGTTGTTGTTCTTGTTGTTGTTGCTATCTTCGAATGGGACTTTAGGCTGCTCTTTAGGCTGCTGCAAAGCGGGGAGCGCAGAGGAGCAACAAGAACTCAGTCTGGGGAAAAAGGGGCTTCCTGTTGGTATAAACATATATGTCGGAGTGGCGAGACTCTTTTTTTTTTTTGAGGCGGTCGTTGGTGTAATCTTTGCTATGTATAGACGGCCCATATTCACAAGGATGGCTCATCCAAGAATATGTCAGCAGACTGCAGAAGACTTGGGGTCCCTACTCTCTACAGACCCAGGTCTCTGCAGCAGTGCAGTTAAGTGCATGAACACATGGACCGTGTTCCTGTTGCACTATATACAGTTGTGATAATACTGATATGAAGAACACCTAGGGTCAGTGTGCAAGCTGTCCTCACAAACGCATCAGTAGTATTCTTGGGTCCGAGGGTAGCAGCAGGGTAAGCATACAGTAGAGCTAGCGTAGTCTGCACGCGTGTATTCCATCGATTGCTCACCAAAAGAGTTCTCGTTATACTTGGTGAACGAGCAAGTTTCAAGCGCAGGGGCCGCGCCGTGGCATTTGTCCGATAGTTCGTTTCCCCCAACACATTCTATAGTATACAACAGTGTCCATGGAGGCATAGACATGAACACTGTTGCACTGCACGGCCTGTTTTAGGCATACTGTACCGACAATATTGAATATTCAGACCAGCGTCCGTAGCTCCATGCTACCCCCACTCATAGGTTGATTCAGCAGTGCGGACAGTATTGTCCATGTCATCCACTTACCAACGGCCAGTTGTCTTTGATGAATACATGTCCATGTTCATCCTGATGGGGGCAATGCCAAATAATACGTCTGGGGGCCGGTCTGGGGGAGTCTCGCCGTCGCCATTACTGTATACCGAGGTGGCCAGAATGAGGTATACAAGCAGGGGAAAGGTAAGGAATACCCTAGCACCACGGGGAGATTTGTTGGTCAAGGTCCCAAAAGACAACCAGTCAACGGTTTCTAGTAAGCAGAGCCGAAAGTTACACACTCCCGATTTCCAGAACATCGGGTCAATGAAGACTACTGCCCAATGCTACAAGATGCCCTTGCGATGTTGGCGGAATCATGTGGGTCGGTATCGATTCTTCGACCAGGAACTATTCAGGAGTCCATCAGTACGTGTTGTTCTTATATATATATATATATATTTCGTCAACAGAACGATCCTCCCAGAGTACAATCGTTCTGGTGTGCGTCTTTTCAGATTCTGGACTTTTTGCGAAATATTCGAAATTCTTGCCGTTTCCTCAAGATGGTCTGGATCACGAAGAGAGCGGCGGCAATGATCGCCCTCAGCTTCTTGTAAGTGAAGGCCTCCGCCCTGGCATGCAGATCCTCATCATACTGGAGAACAATGGGCTGAGATAACATGATATCTGCAGTCTACCAGCCCACGCGGTACCTCATCCTCTGGACAGCGCACATTCTCCCAAAACTCCATCGTTAGCTCAAGCCAAGAACTTCGCAGGCATGACTCCAGGAAATTCAAACCAACTCATGAAGGCCAAGGACAGTCTGGACAGTCTGGACACTGTGGACGAAGAGGATCATGCGCCTCCCCCCGCGCAGAAGTACTGTCTCTGCGTGGACCCAGGCCAAAGCCAAGCAGATACGACAGCCACAAACAAAGTCTGTGGAGGATACGGCAACAATATCAACAACTCACGCAAGGGCCCTACGGGTGCTACTTTTACCTCAGTAAGTCCACACTTGGTGCCCAATCGTCTATCAAGATGCAGATGCTGACTGCACACACAGTGCGAGAATATCTACGAAGAGTCTTTCACCGCATTCGGCAACAGCTGCATCATGTTTTATGGTCATGCGTCGCCGGGCAATGGGAAAGAAGGCGCTATATGTTGTACGACCACTGGAACGGAGGCCGGGGGCCAGTGCAACCTCTATCACTGATCGGGTTCAGCCACATTTCGGCCGACCTCCAGTGCTCGGTACTCGCTTACAGCCAACTCCGGGATTTGATTCTTTCCAGTTGGGATGCAGAGCGCCATTTGGGATGCCCTTTACCGGTGCGGGAGCCCCTATGCATACGCATTTTTTTTGCCAGAAATACGCGATATGCCCGGGGTTTGCGAGTTCGTTGCACCCGCGATTGAAGCTGGTGGAATGTCGACATTAAAGTCCTGAAATGATTGCCGTGTCTGAAGTCGTTGTACCTAACATTAGGTCCTGGATTGCAATACCTGGTCTTGGCAACCAATCGAGGATCTTGTTAAAACATTTTTCGCAAGTGGTCAATGCGAATGAAAGCACTAGAAGCAACTGTCCATTAGTATGCGAATAGAGGTTTCAACTGCTGGGGGCGCGTAGCTAGCAGCATCGTTACTTTCCAGTGCCACCAATGCCACTCACTTTTTAGATATGCCTCGAGGCTGATAGGCTGCTTCCATAGACGCCATTGGTGGAAGAACGTGTCTCTCTCAAGCGAGTAAGATGCCTTGAATACCGTGCAAGGTCGCCTGGTAAGCGCAAAGGACTCCCATAATGCACAGTGCCGTTGGATAGTTTGTATTGCGGGAATAATCGGATATTACGCAGACCTGGTATCCCCGCGGTGCTGGCAGAAGTGGGCGCCGCCAATCACGATGTCGAGGGTCTTCGGCATCTCGGTCCTCCGCTACCAGTTTTGTTGATGATGAGATGCAACAAAAGCGTTGGTTTGAACATGCTTTTCACACCATGTTCGACCCAAAGCAGCCTACCGACGACTCTTCGAAAAGTGAGACCACTCCCGCTACGACCAAATCAGCGCTCGCAACAACAGTAAAACCGCTGCTACCATTCGTGATTGGAGGTGGATCTGGAATCGTCGCGACAACGTGTACACAGCCCATCGATTTGGTCAAAACCAGGCTCCAGCTTTTAGGTGAAGGAGCAACAGGCAAAGGACAATCCCCTCTGGCAGTCGCAAGGAAAGTCGTTGCTGAAGATGGTCTTTTCAGCTTGTATAATGGCATATCTGCGGCGTGGCTGCGTCAAGCTTCATACGCCACCTTACGACTGGGTTTCTTCGACAAATTTCTAGCATACGCGACGACCAGAGCTGAAGGTCAAGGCAGAAAGGTCGGGTTTGGGGATCGGACTGCTGCGTCTTTGAGTGCAGGAGGCTTAGCTGCCGCGCTTGCTAATCCAGCAGAGGTTGCTCTGATCCGTCTACAGTCCGATGGGATGAAAGCGCGCGAACAGAGAGCCAATTATCGATCGGTGGTGGATGCTCTTGTGAGGATCACAAGGAGCGAGGGGATCACTGCACTGTGGTCAGGCTCTTATCCAACCATACTTCGAGCCATGGCGACCAATTTTGGCTAGGTAAGACTCCAGTGGAATGCATGTATCATCTGACACTTTCGCTGATCATGGACAAAAGTTGGCTTTCTTCTCCGAGTCGAAGCACCAGTTGAAACAGCATAGCTCAATGTCCGATCGAGGTATCACCATCGCCGCTTCTGGAGTTGCCGCTTTCTTCGCCTCGTTCTTTGGCTTGCCATTCGACTTCCTGAAGACTCGACTGCAGAGAGGTGGCTCGCAGTACAACGGCATGCTCGACTGTGCCATGCAGGCGTATAGAAAGGAGGGTCCTCTTCGCTTTTATCGCGGCTTCGGGACTTATCTATTCAGAATTGCACCCCACACCATCATCACTTTGATAGTCGCCGACAGCGTGACAGCTTCTCTGAAGAGGACTGGAGTTTTGTAGCAATAAGGGGAGGGGGGTGCATGTAAGGAGTGCTTGGATTGTGCGAGATTGTTACTGTGTATGTTAACCGTAAGCGATCGCCCAGAATGACTTGTGAACAGGACAAGAGCATCGGATCAGCCGTCAGAGAAAAGTCATATCATGAGTGGTAGCCTGTTGAGACGATGGTGGCCCGGGCGGTGCTGGTGGTGGTAGACTTGATTGTGCTTATGTGTGCAAGGAGGAGGTAAAAAAAACGGAGGATTCTCGGGACTTCGGACGAGCTCTCCCGACGCGACGGACCGGAACGAGCTGCCGTTAGACACAAAATAAATCTTTTCGACTTTTCCCTCTTCTGCGCATCTTCATCACATCAACATCAACATCGCGTGTCATCAAGACAATGCGAAGAATGCGGCCAACGCCTCCAGCGTACATGTCCCCAGAGGTACAGCCTCTGCCCGTCCATCCCGCTCCGCGCCCCGGTGTCAGCATGAGTGCCGCTACCTAATTGACCTCAACACCAGCTATTGCCGACTCGGTATGGATTCTTCCCGTCCCATTGTACTCGACGTCCAGAGCGTCCAGGAGCTTGTACAGCATGTGCTGGAGCATCACGCTCCACCTTCGACTCTCATCTTCTGCTCAACCAGAGATGCGTTCTTGGAGTTGCTCAGTAAAGCGCCAGAGACATTCGGCCATCGAGATGGCCTCGACAACTGGCTCTCAACTCCTGCACTGCGTCTGCTTACAACTTCACGGGCACTGAAAGTTGCCTTCTGTCCAGACATTGCACACCTTCGCGCATATTTGGCGACCTACAGCATTGCAGTGGCAGGGCGAGAAGGCAACACAGACAAACTCCAGGCAGGTAATGCACAGCCAATCCTCGCCATGTGGAATGCCATCGAGCTTCATCGACCGACTTCCGCCTTCTCCGCGCAAGGGCTTAACAGGACCTTCTCCATCGCTGTGGAAGCTGCTCATTTCACGAACAGCAAACTGATTTTGGCTGAATGCGGCTCTACTCCATCATCCAGCACAGCAGAAGCGTGCTCATCTGCTCCTTGGGATGAAGAGCTTTCCATTCTCAACGTCACCACCAGAAGGCTCGGCGACATCTCAGTTGGTCGAACAGTCAAAGTGCGAACCGTCGCCAGCCGATGGTGCACCTTCGAGAAGATGCCAAAGTCGACGACGCGCTGATGACTTGGTAAGCCTCATCCATCCCTCCCTTCGTCTCATCCTTCTTTGCATGATGAGAATCACAGTTATTCACAGACCTGTTCCTAAAAATTATGTGGAGCACCGCGTTATATTAATCCTGATTCTTTGCCCTCTTGCCACAGACATTCCAATCATCACTTTTGGAATCCAGCTTTGCTAATCACATGCTGCCAAGCAGATCTCAAGCACACAGCTGCAAACTTTCCTCGATTACCGAACGAATGTTCTCATGGTAAGCGCCTTTCCTCCTCCTCCTCCTCCTCCTCCTCCTCTCCCATCACCATCATTGTTTGATGATACACCAGCTGGCACCAGTCTGAGAAAGACTTGTACTCTTTTTGCTGCGGACTAGCTTTGCACGAGACACAAGTCTCTAGATCTGATCACAATTCTCCTTTCACGCTTTGTCAGGGAACACTATTTGAGAGGGACACAGGCTGACATAGAGTCCAGCAGTATCACTCAGTAACGCCCCCTCCCTCCGCCCCATTTCGAGATCTACGTTGAAGCTAGTGAGGTGGTCGTTGGTGGTGAACAAGTGCATTGGGGTATCGTGGGCTATGTACAAACAAGTAGGTAGGTAGGAATCGCGACGCGTCGTCCCAACAAAGCTTTATCATCCGTCATTGTCATTGTCGTCATCCTCAAATGCTCTGCTCCATCTCGGTAATGTACAGCCGGATATGGCTCTCCATCTTCATGTACTCCTCTCTCGCGGCCTGGACCTCATGCTCAATTTGCTCTTTCAAGTCCGCCATCTTCTTCTCCGTCTGTTCAACCCTGACCCTCCTCTTCTCAATTTCCTCTCCCCGATCCCTCCGCTCTGCAGTCAGCTCCCTATGCTTCGCTCGCAACGCCTCCATCTTACTCTTTGCATTCAACGCTCTCGTCTCTGCGTCCCTGCGGAGCTTCTCCGTCCGATCCTGCCATTGCTGCAATTGCTTCCTAAGCATTTTCTCTTGCCTCTCGACTTCGCGCACGCTATTCGACTTTTCCGTCAGCGCATCTCGATTCTTCCCCGCGGCGCGTTGTTCTTCATCTTCCTTGTGCAACTCCAGCTGCAAGTCTCCCAGTAATCTCGTGAGAGATGAGATGTCCGTCTGTAAGAGGGTAAAGGTGTCGCAGGACGTCTGGAGTGCTCGAGCGCGTTTGTCGAGACGCTCGATCTCGTGCCGATCGGCAGCGAGGTTGGAGCTCAGGTCCCGCAGAGACTGCTCGAGGTGTGCGGGGGACTGTTCGGTGTATGGACGGAGCTTGGCTGCTTCATTTCGAGTCTGCATTACGGATGTGGTCTTGTCTTCCAGGAGGGACTTCAAGCGGGACTGTTCTCCCTTGACGCGTTCGAGCTTCTCCGTCACGCGTTCCTGGGCTTTCTTCAGTTCGAGAAGACGAGTCTTGAGTTCCTGAGATCGTTGCTCTTTCTGCTGTAGCGCTGCTTCCACGTTCTTCCTGTTCTGCTGCATTTCGTGCAGTCGATCTTCTTTCTCCTGATTTGCGTGGTAGAGCTGTTCGATCGTGTTCTTCGTCCTCTCCGAGCTGTTGTAATGCTCATCGATCACGTTCGTCTGGCTTTCGCGAAAGCGGATAAAGTTGATGATATAGCTGAATATCTTGACCAGTCGGGGGTGAGTCGGTCGGTAGAGATCGCTAAAGGTGAAATCCTTGATGCCGCACTCGAGGAGCAGTTTGCGCATGGTGATGAAGAAGCCCATGAGCTCGCGCGTGTCCGCCGTGAATATGCGCTCAACATCGTCGCCGCACATGTCCTCGGCTGCAGCACGCATCGCGGGCGCCACGACTTCGCGAGTCGTGTTGGTGAGCAGTTCAGCAAACCATTCGAAGACTTTCTGAATCTGCTGCGGGTTGGGCTTTCGGAGGTCTTCGAGGGTGAAGTTGATACCAATGTCGCTGATGCATCCTGCTATCTCCTTGTCCGGCTGGCATACAGTCAGTCTTGCGCGTGAGTTGTCGACAAATGCGCGCTGCTTACAAGTGTCATGAACGCGTCCTCATCGGGCTCTTTGACCTTCTTCTGCTGCTGGCTAGACACAGATCGCCCTCCCGCCATGCTCATTCGGGGGTTGTATTCCATACTGGGCATCCTGCCAACGGATGCACCTGTGGTGTGTGGTGATGTGGTGCTGGCGATTTCGATGTCGGCGAGGGGGCGCGTGTGGAAGTGAGTGCGGGGCGTCGGGCATGAGTTGTTCGTCTGTGGCATGTCAACAAACACAAAACGCCAAGTCTGTCGCAGGGGACGATGATGCCCGGCCCGGACCCGGATAGCAGCTGTTGCCTCAGGCTGACAATATGTTCTACCTAGGAGGTACATGTAGGTACCACCTCACCTCACCTGCTCACCTCACCTCACCTCAATACCATGGTACTGCAGTTGGTGTTTCTTCATCATCACGACACAACACCCGCGATATGGGAGTCTTGATGACCACGACGACATGCTGGATTCTCATCAGCATGTCCAATCACATTTGGAGGTAGAAGATTACCCCCCTCAAGTCTGGTACCGTCGGCCAATGTCGAAGCTTGAAGCGACGGCAATGTTCTAACTTCTCCTTGATATGGGCTCTCCGTCCGCTTCCGATCGCAACCCTGCGCGCCTCTGCCCAGATTAGCGAAGAGGCAAGAAAGACGTGAGCGAGTGCCTGGCTCTCATGCTTGCCACGCTGCAGTGCTACCGCCTGCATGTTCCTCCAAAGATGGAGACAGCGCCGCCATGACGAGGAGACCGATCCGTTGTGATCCCTCTCGCTGGGGAACACTGCAAACTCCACATTCATGCTTCTGGTTCTCCTTCGTCGCCTGTTCGCCACCCGAAGACTCCGAGCAAGCATTTCCTGTGCGTAAGACCTACACTGTGAACATCAACTCACGGATCAACTTTGCAACCCCTCTTGGCACATCAAAGCATCATCAGTCGCTCAATGTAAATTTCCCAATGAGTGTGCATCGTGGAATCAACATATCAACCAATCAACTCGCCTTCGTCAGCTTTATCTTGAAAGAAGCCTTGGGTAGGCAAATGAAGTCAACCAGACATGCCACCGAGTCTCAGCAACAGGGCCGTGCGCTCTGCTTTATCAAAAGAATGAGATATTGCTGTTCTCTGACCTGATTCTCGAGTTGTGCTTCCCAAAATTTCAGTCACTCGCTACTACCATGAAGCTCAGCACAGTGGTTGCTGGCGCTCTTGCGCTGCCTTTCGTATATGGCGCCCCAACTGGTGAGCGACCCAGAGGCGCGCAGAAGACTCTCCTGCTGACCTTGCGCAGATATCGCTACAGCCCTGGAGCGTCGCCAGAAATCTGGCAGGACCATGTGAGTGACCAAGACCGTTTCCCGGCTCGCGGCCTTGACAAGTCGTACTCTCGCTGACCGTGCATTCCTTGTAGGATTACCACCATGACCGCGACATCTACATCTACAATGATCATGTCTGACTCGGATACAAGTTCCTCCACTAGCTCTGGTGGAAGTTCGAGCTCGACAGCCAGGTTAGTTGCCCGTCTGTTCCACCAGACTAGTTCTCGATAACTGTAGCGCCGGGGCTAATCAAAAATCGCAGCAGCACGGTCACGGTCACTCCGTCCTCCTCTTCCAGCAATAGTGATACCACAGCTACTTCAGGGTCCTCGTCTTCCAGCGCAAGCAGTGATACATCTATTGCCACGACGGTCACTTCGGTCGCCACTGTCATTTCCACCGCCACTTCTTCTCCAACTGCCTCTTCGACCGGCACCACCACCTCCTCCTCCTCTGCCTCTTCGACTGGCACTTCTTCCTCCTCCTCTGCCTCTTCGACCGGGCCTTCTTCCTCATCCTCTGCCTCTTCGACCGGCACTACTTCTCTAACTGCCTCTTCGACTGGCACTTCTTCCTCCTCTGCCTCTTCGACTGGCACTACTTCTCCAACTGCCTCTTCGGCTGGCACTTCTTCATCCGCTTCTTCGACCGACACTTCTTCCTCTTCCTCCACCTCTTCGGTCGACACTTCTTCCTCCTCCTCTGCCTCTTCGACTGGGCCTTCTTCCTCATCCTCTGCCTCTTCGACCGACACTTCTTCCTCTGCCTCTTCGACTGGCACTACTTCTCCAACTGCCTCTTCGACCGGCACTTCTTCATCCGCCTCTTCGACTGGCACTTCTTCCTCGTCCGCCTCTTCGACCGGCACTTCTTCATCCGCCTCTTCGACTGGCACTTCTTCCTCGTCCGCCTCTTCGATCGGCACTTCTTCATCCGCCTCTTCTACTGATGCCTCTTCATCTAACACCTCTTCTGCAACCACATCTTCAACAGGAACCTCGTCTTCGATCGCCTCCTCCACCGACTCGACTTCTTCTTCCACCAAAGTCTCCTCGTCTACTTCTTCGACATCAAGGGATAGCAGTGCTATGACCACCGCCACAGTCACTCCAACCGCATCTGCAAGTGGGTCCTCCTCGTCAGGTCTTCCGCCAACCAGCGTTAGTAGCAGCACATCTGCGTCCAGTACAGGGAGCGCGTTTGGCTCATCGGTTAGCTCCTCGGCGTCGTCTGGTTCTGCGTCCATGACTACCATGACTGGTTCTGCCTCCTCTTCCAGCAGTGGCAGTGGTACGTCTTCTACAGGAAGCGCCTCTAGCTCTCCTAGCTCGTCAAGTGGCTCTTCGACTACCTCATCTGGCGCAAGCACCTCCTCAATGACTACTATGACCGCAATTGTGGGTCCAGGTGCATCTTCTACGGGAAGCGCTTCTTCGACTACCCTATCTAGTGATGCATCTTCTACAGGAAGCGCCTCTAGCTCTCCTAGCTCGTCAAGTGGCTCTTCGACTACCTCATCTGGTGATGCATCTTCTACAGGAAGTGCCTCTGGCTCTCTAAGCTCGTCAAGTAGCTCCTCGATCACCTCATCTGGCACAAGCACCGCCTCCATGACTACTATGACCGCAATTTTGGGTCCAGGTGCATCTTCTACGGGAGGCGCTTCTTCGACTACCTTATCTAGTGATGCATCTTCTACAGGAAGCGCCTCTAGTTCTCCCAGTTCGTCAAGTGGCTCCTCCGCCACCTCATCTGGCACAAGCACCTCATCTGGCACAAGCACCTCATCTGGCACAAGCACCTCATCTGGCACAAGCACCTCATCTGGCACAAGCACCTTATCTGGCACAAGCACCTCCTCAATGACTACTATGACCGCAATTGTGGGCCCTGGTGCATCTTCCACGGGGAGCGCCTCTAGCTCTCCCAGTTCGTCAAGTGGCTCCTCCGCCACCTCATCTGGCACAAGCGCCTCATCCGGCACAAGCACCTCATCTGGCACAAGCACCTCATCTGGCACAAGCACCTCATCTGGCACAAGCACCTCATCTGGCACAAGCACCTCCTCAATGACTACTATGACCGCAATTGTGGGCACTGGTGCATCTTCCAGGGGAAGCGCCTCTAGCTCTCCCAGTTCGTCAAGTGGCTCCTCCGCCACCTCATCTGGCACAAGCACCTCATCTGGTACAAGCACCTCTTCAATGACTACTATGACCGCAATTGTGGGCCCTGGTGCATCTTCCATGGGAAGCGCCTCTAGCTCTCCCAGTTCCTTAAGTGGCTCCTCGGCCACCTCTTCTGGCACAAGCACTGCCTCTATGACTACTATGATCGTGGGCTCAGGTTCTGCCTCTTCTAGCAGCGGCAGTAGTGCATCTTCTACAAGAAGTTCGTCTAGCTCCCTGAGCTCATCAAGTGGCCTACCGACCTCCTTATCTGGCACAACCGCTGCCTCTTTAACTACTATGACTGCAATTATGGGCCCAGGTTCGACCTCTTCCAGCAGCGGCAGTGGTGCATCTTCTATAGGAAGTGCCTCCAGCTCCCCGAGCTTGTCAAGTAGTCTATCGACCTCATCTGGCACAAGCACTGCCTCTGTGACTACTATGACTGCAATTGTGGGCTCAGGGTCTACCTCTTCTAGCAGCGGCAGTAGTGTGTCAAGCATCGGCAGCGGTACGTCTTCTACAGGAAGTGCCTTTAGCCCTCTCAGCTTGTTGAGTGGCTCCTCGACCTCATCTGGAACGATAACTGCTTCTATGTCTACTATGACTGCAGTTATGGGCCCGGGTTCTGTCTCCAGCGGCAGTAGTGCGACTATGACGACCAACGCAGGAAACATGTCCGGTTCTCAGAGCTCGTCAAGTGGCTCCTCGACCTTATCTGGAACAAGCACTGCCTCTGTGACTACTATGACTGCCATTGGGGGCCCAGGTTCTCTATCCTCTTCCAGCAGCGGCAGTGGTGTATCCAGCACCGGCAGCAGCGCTTCTTCTACAGGAAGCGTCTTCGGCTCTCTAAGCTTTTTGAGTGAATCCTCGACCTCATCTAGTACAAGGACTGCTTCTATGTCTACTATGACTGGAATTGTGGGCCCAGGTTCTCTGTCCTCTTCCAGCAGCGGCAGTGGCACGACTATAGCGACCAACGCAGGAAGCATATCCGGTTCTCCGAGCTCATCTCGCATTGGATCGAGCTCTACAGCTGCAAGTACAATGATCATGGTGATTCCCAGTTCGCCCAAGGTCTCTACTGTGGTTTCAACGAGCTTCTCGTCAACATCCACGAAATTTGTCGGGCACCCACTACCCCCCGCAACTGAGACTTCTGTTGTGACCATGACCATGGATCCTGCCGGCAGCACCGTTCCCGTGACACTGGTGATGCCTTTGCCTACGTCCTCTGGCAACAGCAGTTATTCTGTAACACTGGTGATGCCTCTGCCTACGTCCTCCGCTGGCTTGAGCGTTCCCGTAACAATGGCAATCCCTTCGACCGCATCCTCTGCAAGCAGCAGCGTTGCTGTAACACTGGTGATGCCTCAGTCTACGTCCTCTGCCAGCAGCAGCGTTCCTGTAACGCTGGTGATGCCTCTGCCTACGTCCTCCGCCAGCAGCGTTCCCGGCACGATGGCGATCCCTTCGGCCGCCTCCTCTGCTAGCAGCAGCGCTGCCGCGACCCTGGTCATGCCTTCATCTCCGTCTTCTGCTGGCTTGTCGGGCTCTGCTAGCAACACGACTGTCAGGACTGGCTCTACACAAATGGCCCTCACGACAGCTGTTACTACCCAAAATCTCACTAGGACAGCTACGGCGACCAACAACATAACAACGACAGCCTTTGCTACCCGGGAACTCACAACGACAGCCTTTGCCACCCAGGAACTCACTAGGACAGCTACGGCGACCAACAATATATTAACGACAGCCTTTGCCACCCAGGAACTCACTAGGACAGCTACGGCGACCAACAACATAACAACGACAGCCTTTGCTACCCGGGAACTCACAACGACAGCCTTTGCCACCCAGGAACTCACTAGGACAGCTACGGCGACCAACAATATAACAATGACAGCCACTGCTACCCAGGAACTCACAACGACAGCCACTGCTACCCAGGAACTCACTACAACAGCTACGGCGACCAACAACATAACTACGACAGCTACTGCGACCCAGGAACTCACTAGGACAGCTACGGCGACCAACAACATGACTACGACAGCCACTGCTACTCAGGAACTTACTGCAACAGCTACGGCGACCGATAATATTACCACTACAGCTATTACTACCCAGAATTTCACCACGACAGCTACAGCGAGTGTTACCACGACAGAAACAGCGAGCATTACCACGACAGCTACCGAGACCGACAATGTAATTACGACAGCTACTAGCAATCTTACCGTGACAGCTACCGCTACGAAGGATTTCACAGTGATAGCTACAGCTACGAACAACATGACGCAAACCGCTTTCCTTACAGCTACCGCTACGAAGGTTCATACACAAACCGCGTTGCAAACGACAACCGCAACACTTTATATGACGGAGACTATGCCAGGCGGTGTCATCGTCATTTCTGCAAAGCCCACCACCTATGTCGTCAGCTCCTCGTCCACCAAGCCACATGTTGCCTCATCTTTCACTTGGGACTACGAGACAAGCAGCATCCCAGGAGGGTACTACCAGGCCACTCCGTCACCAGAAATGCAAGACGATATGCCTTTTGTGCTTCCAGTGCCACCAATCCAGTCATTGCCACCAATCCAGTCACTACCACCAATCCAGTCACTGCCACCAATGCCGCTAATGCCTCCACATAGCCCATGGCAGCAGCAGCCTCCCCAGGATGGCACTCGATATGTGCCTAGCGATCCTTCTGACGATGACGGCAAGAATGATATTCTTAGCCCTGCCTATCCAAGCCAGGATTATGGGGAAGACAAGTCGCTATTTTCTACCTATAATAGCGTGAACGATGAAGGCACACAGGACAGCGAGGACGATAATGATCACTACAAGCGAGATGCGCAATACGGCTCCTATGCTCCGACTTCTTCGTTCCTCTTTTGCAACGCTGCTGCAATCGCTCGTGGAGATTGCACCGCCCCAGGTGTATCCGCAACTCCGTCAGTCTATGTTGATGTTCCTGAGACCCGAACCGCGACTCTATCTACTCCATCGGCAGGACGCCCTACACTAGGTGCAGTTTCGGTTGATGGTCGCTATTCATGCAATCCAGCACATTCCTACCCTGACGGCCAGATCTGTCAGCTGTCCTCTGATGGCGGCTACTATCTCAGGACAGAGGGCCCTGGCGTCTCTGTCTCTGCTTCTGCCTCTGCCTCCGCATCGGCCGCTACCTCATCCGCTCCATCAGCAGGATGCCCTGCCCCGGGTGCAACCTCGATCGATGGTCGCTATTCATGTAACCCAGCACACTCCTACTCCGGCGGTCAGATCTGTCAGCTGTCCTCCGATGGCTGCTACTACCTAAGGACGGAGGGCCCAGGCGTCTCTGCCTCCGCATCTCCCGCTACCCCATCTGCTCCATCAGCAGGATGTCCTGCACCGGGTGCAACATCGATCGATGGTCGCTATTCATGCAATCCAGCACATTCATACCCTGACGGCCAGATCTGTCGACTATCCGATGGCTGCTACTATCTAAGGACAGAGGGTCCAGGCGTCTCTGCCTCCGCATCTCCCGCTACTCCATCTGCTCCATCAGCAGGATGTCCTGCACCGGGCGCAACATCGATCGATGGTCGCTATTCATGCAACCCAGCACACTCTTACCCTGACGGCCAGATCTGCCAGCTGTCCGATGGCTGCTACTACCTAAGGATAGAGGGCCCAGGTGTCTCCGTCTCTGCCTCCTCCGCATCGGTCTATGTCGACGTTCCCAAATACCAAACTGCGGCTCCATCTGTTCCATCGGCACCTACAGCATGCCCTGCGCCGGGAGGTACTTCTTCTAGTGGCCGATCCTCATGCAATCCAGCACACCAGTACCCGGGCGGTCAGATCTGCGAGTTATCCAATGGCTGCTACTACCTAAGGACAGAGGGCCCAGGTGTCTCCGTCTCTGCCTCCTCCGCATCAGTCTATGTCGACGTTCCCAAATACCAAACTGCGGCTTCCTCTGCTCTATCGGCACCTACAGCATGCCCTGCGCCAGGAGCTACCTCCTCTGGTGGCCGTTACTCGTGCAACCCAGCACACTCATACCCGGACGGCCAGGTCTGCGAATTGTCCGATGGCTGCTACTACCTCCGCAACGAGACCCCGTCCTCAACGCCCCACTACAAGCGATATGTTCCGTACGCCGTCCTTTCAACCGCTTCGCCTGCTTCGTCCACTTTTGCATGCAATCCGGCACACTTGTACCCCAACGGGGCATCGTGTGTATCGACGAAGGGCGGTCTCACTCTCATCACTCCACCGGCTTCTACATCTTACGCATGCAACCCAGCTCATTCGTACCCCAACGGGGCCTCGTGTGTATCGACGAAGGGCGGTCTCACTCTTATCACTCCACCGGCTTCTACATCTTACGCATGCAACCCAGCTCATTCGTACCCTAATGGAGTATCGTGTGTGTCGACGAAGGGCGGCCTCACGCTCGTCACTCCTCCGGCTCCAACACCTTACGCATGCAATCCGGCTCACTCGTACCCTAATGGAGTATCGTGTGTGTCGACGAAGGGCGGGCTCACTCTCGTCACTCCGCCGGCTCCAACCCGTTACGCATGCAATCCGGCTCACTCGTACCCCAATGGAGCATCGTGTGTGTCGACGAAGGGCGGGCTCACTCTCGTCACTCGGCCGGCTCCAACCTATTACGCATGCAACCCGGCTCATTCGTACCCTAACGGAGCATCGTGTGTGTCGACGAAGGGCGGCCTCACGCTCGTTACTCCGGCTCCAACGCCTTACGCATGCAATCCGGCTCATTCGTACCCTAACGGAGCATCGTGTGTGTCGACGAAGGGCGGCCTCACGCTCGTTACTCCGGCTCCAACGCCTTACGCATGCAATCCGGCTCATTCGTACCCTAACGGAGCATCGTGTGTGTCGACGAAGGGCGGCCTCACGCTCGTTACTCCGGCTCCAACGCCTTACGCATGCAATCCGGCTCACTCGTACCCTAATGGAGCATCGTGTGTGTCGACGAATGGCGGGCTTACTCTCGTTACTCCGCCGGCTCCAACCCGTTACGCATGCAATCCGGCTCACTCGTACCCTAATGGAGCCTCGTGCATTTCAACCAAGGGCAGTCTCACGCTCGTCACTCAAACTTACGCATGTAACCCAGCTCACTCGTATCCGAATGGCGCATCGTGTATCTCAACCCGGGGAAGCTTAACCCTAGTCACTGCGCCGGCATATCCAACTCCAACTTCAGCTGGAAAGCATGGTGGCGTTCATGATAAGGAAGATTGTCAGGCCGATTATAACAGCTGCCGCACAGCACCTGATGCCAACATGGCAATTTGTGCTGCGGACTACGCGGAGTGCTTGGACTCAAAGTCTTCCCCTAGCGCGACAAGGTCCAAGTTTCACACCAAGGCTGACTTCGCTGCCGGTCCATCTGCAACGCCTGCGACCACGTACGCGTGCAATCCTGCTCATTCCTATCCTAATGGGGCTTCGTGCATCTCGACTCAGGGTGGTCTTAGGCTGGTCACTGCTTCGGCTTCGGCTACTGCAACTGGCTCCAAGTCTTACACTAATGCTTACTTTGCAGCCGGTCCACCTACGACGCTCGCGACCACGTACGGATGCAATCCTGCTCATTCATATCCCAACGGGGCTTCGTGCATCTCCACTCAGGGTCGTCTCACGCTGATCACTGCTTCGGCTTCGGCTACGACTACTGCGATTGGCGCCTGGACTGAAAGTGAGGAGTACTATCTTCCTCTACAAACATCATGAATCGGATAGAGGAGCGAAGGCGTCCGGAGTCGAAGATGAGCAAGACTCCGAGTGATATATCAGTATGTGTTCCCCTGCCATGTCGCTTGCACGCCGCTCACCAGTATACAGGTAACGATAATAGTAATGCATCGCATACAGTGCGACGAGTAATAATTCATTCAGATGGCAAAAGCAGAACACGTAATAGGCGATATATGCAGCGCTGTCTGTTTTCTCATGTGTTGCATAATGGCAGAGGCCTCGGAACAAGTATATATGCTACTGGGACGACAAATACACCTCAGAATTCCACTCTGTACTGCCCGTACCCACTCTTTCCATACGTCGCTGTTGGTTGCTTGGTTCTTCCCGTCTTCCAGGATCATCATGCTCTTGTAGTGGTGGTGAAGTGGTATGCGATAAGGTAGCAAGAAGACAAAAGTGCATATACGGTAGTTGTCGATAAGCCAGGCAAAGAAAGCATAAATCCTTCATGTCGGTCGGCTGCTCGCTCATCCTATCAATGCGCGTGAATGAATATATGTTGCCCCTTATCGCTTGGCAAAAAGGTTCGACGTTATCTCCGAGCGCGATGATTGGCTGGACAGGAGAGAGTGAGGAGGGCAGCAGAGTGCAGGGCGACCGACGACCGAAGCGATCCGAGAGGGAGCATTCTTGTGCCCAGAGATAGGGAGTGACGCTTGAGCAGCCTCAGACATTTGGTGGTGGTGGTGCTGCTGGTGGTACTTTCTATCTCTCTGACTGTGTCAGCATGTCGTTTCACCTGGATGGCATGTACACCTTCACCTCCACGTCCACGTCCACGTCCCAGTCCCAGTTGCCAGCAGAGTTTGGGAGTTTGATAAGCAGCACTGCAATTTCTGGTCCTCGTCACCATTTACCACCACCACCACCGCTGCCGCCGCCGCCGCCGCCCGACATCATCGTCTCCAGCATCTCCGGGGAGAATGCGCTCCAACTTGCCGCGTGGGACAGGCGTATGAGTGGACCAGCCTGATGGAAGCTGCTACGGCCGGGGATATGCAAGCGCCGGCGGATATCCGAACTTCACCACTCCTCGACCACCTTCATCACCACCCGCCGCCGCCGCCGCCCGCCAGCAAGCCCAAGCAGCGTCGACGTCGGAATAACAACAGCAACAGCAACAACAACAATCACGACAACCCGGCGGAGGATGTCGAGGATGCTTCCAAGAGACGGTGTGTGAGCACGGCGTGCATTGCGTGTAGGTAAGCTGAGCTGCCCCCTCTCATACCTCCTCAAACGACTCCCGAAGAACCTGCGCCCCCCGCGCGCTGGAACAGGCAGTCGATCGACGGAGACGAGAGCACCGCTGATACGACTCTTTGCACTGCCTAGGAAGCGAAAGAGCAAGTGTGATGGCAACACTCCCGCCTGTGCTGCCTGCGCCCAGGTGTATGGCACCGAATGCATCTATGATCCCAATTCAGACCATCGACGCAAAGGAGTCTACAAAAACGACCTCGATAACCTGAAGACGCGAAACTCCACCCTACAAACCCTGATCGAAGCGATTCTCAACTACTCCGAGCACGATGTAGCAGGATTAGTACGAGAGATTCGGACGTGTGAGAGCTTGGATGCAGTGGCAGCGAAGATTTCTACGGGGAAAGAGCCTGGCGATCCGGAGGATGACGAGGACGACGACGAGGCGCCGGCGAAGCGTCGCGCTCCCACCACGCCATTTGAGTCGCATTTATACGGAAAGATGGGGGACCTGAGACTGGACGAAGGTTCTGTGCGCTATATCGGTGGAACGAGCAATTTGATACATTTGGCTCCCGAAGAGGCTCGAAGCGACAACATGGACGAGTACCTACAGCAGGAGAATCCCGTACTGTCGTGGACGAACGTGACGAGTGATCCCGATTTGATCCTCCATCTGGTGAACATGTACTTCACCTGGCATTACACCTTCTTCACCACCTTATCCAAGCAGCTCTTCTTCCGTGACTTCATGCTGGGAAGACCACCGCCCCATGCTCCGAGGAAGACGCAATATTGCACGCCTCTACTGCTCAACGCCATCCTGGCTCTGGGCTGTCACTTCACCTCCCACGCTGGAGCGAGGGAGAATCCGGAAGACTCGGCCACGACTGGGGACCATTTCTTTCGCGAGGCGAAGCGGTTGATCATGGAGAACGATGAGCATGAAAAGCCCAACTTGACCACAATCCAAGCGTTGGCCTTGATGTCTGTCCGCGAGGCAGGCTGTGGCCGAGAAGGTCGAGGGTGGGTGTACAGCGGCATGTCCTTTCGAATGGCATGTGACATGGGCCTCAATCTCGATGCCAGCCATCTCACTAACGGCCATCATGTGAGTGGTGACGAGAACGAAGAAGATGTGCGGAGGGTGACCTTTTGGGGCTGCTACCTCTTCGATAAGTGCTGGTCCAATTATCTGGGACGATTACCCCAGCTTCCCTCCTCGATGGTGACGACTCCCAAGTTTGATGTCTTCCCCGACGAGGACTCTGCCCAATGGAGTCCGTATACGGATTCCGGCTTCACACAAGCCCATCCTCAGCCGTCACGGACGAGAGCGGTGGCACTGCAGATTGCGAAACTGTGTGAGATTAGTAACGATTTGATGGAGTATTTCTACAACCCCATGGACATGGACAAGGCCAAGGGCAAGGCCGCCGAGTTGAAAAAGCTATCTGAGATTCATACACGTCTCGAGGGATGGCGACGCGAATTACCCAAGGAATTGGAACCGAAAGAAGGCCTGCTTTCGAGTGTGCTGGTCATGCAGTAAGTGTCGGAACATGAAAGTATGGAGACGTCGAGCACGAACACTGACCCCCTGGACGTTACAGTATGTTCTTCCAACTGCTCTTCATCCACTTGTTCCGACCATTCTTGAAATACACGCAGGCAACTTCACCGCTACCAGCGAACGTGAGCCCCCGCAAGCTGTGCACCCAAGCGGCAGCCATGATCAGCAAACTCATGCGCCTTTACAAGAGATCATATGGTCTTCGCCAGATCTGCAACATTGCCGTATACATTGCCCATTCTGCTTGCACGATCCATCTCCTCAACTTACCGGACAAGAATGCCAAACGAGATATCGTCCACGGAGTCAAGCATCTAGAAGAGATCGCCGAGGGCTGGCTGGGTGCCCGACGATCGCTTGCCATCATCAATATATTGGCACGCAAATGGAAGGTCGAGCTGCCGGAAGAAGCCACCGTCGTTCTGACCAGAACAGACGCCAAGTTTGGCACCGTGGTGGGTGAAGTTCATTCCCCGTCGAGTCAAGGGGGTCATGAAAGACGAATGTCAGACGTGTCGATGGCGCCCAGTGCGCAGGCAATGCCAGCTCAGGCATGGCAGTCTCAAGGCCCGGCAGTGGGTGAGTCCAAGCCTCGCGGAGTGACGGGGACATCGGTCGCGACCGCCTCAGTACCACGAACTGCGAGCATCAGTTTCCAGCCTCCTCCACAGGATGCACATGGTTTGCAGCCTTACCAGTATGGCTCTGCTGTCAACACTCCTAAGCAAAAACCCGTTCGAAACTGGGCTTCCGCTTCAAGCGCCGGACGAAACAGTACCAGCAGCCCCAATGACATGTTCGGCGGTGTCGAGCAGCTGATTCGAGACAGTCAGGACTGGGCATACCGCGATCAAGCACAGCTAGGAGCGGGCTTTGAGAACTGGAATCAGATTGACACGGATCCATCGACGTGGACGCAAACTCAACACCCCCCAGCGGCGGCAATGAATGCGGTTGGAATGCAGCAGCTGCCCGCTGCTCACACTCAGGCGTCGTCTCTACTGCAGCAGCCACCAGCCAATGGAATCTATGACCCTTTTGGCACAAGCCCCGGCACGCAGGCCACTGGTGCAGGTACAGCTTCCTCTGCTCCCCTTCCGATGGGGAATGATATGGATATGTCGAGTTGGCTGAGCTCGATGAATGTCTTCAATAACATGGCGGGTGCTTATGATGAGAACGAATGGTATCAATAATGATATTGCCCAAACAGAGACGGGTTTTGTGTGTCTTGGACGGGTGCATGATGAGCGTATCACTAGCATTTGCTGCTCCAGTCTTTCTTTCGCTTTGATGAAATCTACCCTACTATCTATTTGATGATTAATTGAACGATTGATAGAGGTACGATGATGACGATGATGACAACGATGATGAGAGATGAAGAGAGAGAGAGAGAGAGAAAGAGTAGGTAGAGATAGATGAGATTACGTATACCTCTCTACCTTTTCCTTCCCCCTCCTATATCAACTCCTGCTACTCTATAAAGAAGCTATTTTTGATTTTTGATTTCTCATACTCCTACTGTTTAACCGCTTATCAACTTGAGTGAGGTACTTTTGCGGAGAGGCGATGGCGGAGGCTTAACGCGTAGGCTTTTGCTTATATAGCGGAGGTAGCGGAGGATCTCCCCATTCCATCTATTCGCAAAGGAAATCGACGAATCGTGCACAAACTACATGTATACCTTACCTAGGTATGGACCTCCTACCTACATACCTTAACTATAGGTAGTACCTCCTACCTATCATCAATTCGTCAGTGTCACCGCTCGATCCAAACCCCCGCTAGTCCTATCAAGGCAGGTCCACAGCCCCCCCGAGAAAAAAAAGTTAATCGTGATGATGATGAAGTCAGGTACCTGAATCATCGATGCAGAATTGCAGGTCCCGCCCCGCGTATCCATTTTCTGCAAGGCAGTTTTTGAGTTGGGGGAAAGTTCTTATAAGGAGACTTTTTCACATGATTTGTATCTGTCATCCAATTGGAATTGTTGTAATACTAATCATTGTTATTACCCTTTTGTATGTTTGCTTGGATCCTCGGCGTTTTTGTGCTTAGCTGTTGCTTGATTTTACTACATACATACCTACGGACGGACGGACTTCGTCTTCTTTTTTGTTGTTGTGGACAAGGTTGGATCGGAAGAGGAAGAAGAAGAAGAAGAGAAAGGAAAGATGGCGGAGGACTCTACATCTACCAGGCGGGCTTCTACTGGGGTATGTTGGTACACCTGCACCTTCTCCTTCTATTTTGTTTCCGAGGAGGGAGAGTGGCGATTCCCCCAACTCCAACTCAAAAGAAAAAAAAACCAATCCAAACTGACAAAAACACCCTTTTTTATTCTTTCTCCATCCCAGAAATCAGCAGATCTCGCGCGCGTCCGCGACAATCAACGCCGAAGCCGTGCTCGTCGCAAAGAATACCTCCAAGAACTCGAAACCAAATATTGGACGTGCGAACAAGTCGGCGTGGGAGCTTCTGCGGAAATTCAAGCTGCTGCGAGACTAGTCGTGAATGAGAATAAACGCCTTCGAGCATTGTTGATGAAATATGGGATTTCTAGCCGGGAGATTAATGGGGAGGGGGAGGAGACTGCTTCTTCTGTAGTGGAGAATTTGGAGGCGATGTTGGGGAAGAGGAGGGCTTGTGGTGGGGGTACTGGGGGTAGGGCTGATGTGGTGGCGGCGGAATCTTGTGAAAAGTCTTTGGTTGCTATACGATATGGTCATTCGCAGATGCCTGATCGGGGGCTGCGGCAGTTGCAGATGAAGGGGACGATACCTAGTCCACAGAGTTCGGGAAATGGTTTGAGGGAGAATGGAGGGTCACTTGCTGGAAATACGGGTGTTCTGCAGCAGCAGCAGCAACACGGCGAAGCACACCAGCAACAACAGCATCAACAACAAGAATTCGCCGCTCTGAGACACCCACAACCGCCACAGGCGCCACTACCACCACAACAAAATCATACTCCGATGCAATCCAATACTCACACATACGCCACCACCTCCGCCTCCGCATCATCATCATCCTCATCAAATCCAGAACAAATCTACGCAACAACCTCAACCTACTCTCCCGGATCTTCCTCTTCTCTCTACGGAGGCAATAACAACAACAACAATAACTACCCAGATTACTGTTATACCCAACAACACCACCACCAACAACAAAATCACCAACACAACGACTTTTTCGCTCACAACAACTTGGACATTTATTCTGCAGTAGCAGCTGCAGTACCAATACCCCAGCATCACCGGCATCAACAACAACAGAATCAACATCAGCAGAATCAATATCAACAACAACCAAATAATACTGCATCATGTCGAGACATTGCCGACGCAATCAGATGTATTCGACCGAGTTTGACGCTGCAGGAACTTGATGAGGAAATGGGTTGTCATCAACTCTGTGATGCTGATGGTGGTGGTGGTGGTGATGGTGGTGGTAATGGTGATTGTAAAGTTCCACATTACAAGGCGTTTGAGTTGATGGATCGGTTGTCGAATTGATGGAACTTGAGTGGAATGGAGTTGAATTGAATGTGAGGAAAGAGAGAGAGAGAGAGAGAGAGAGAGAGAGAGAGAGAGAGAGAGAGAGAGAGAGAGAG